CTGCCACCCCTGTCGGCGCTGCGATGATGGTCCCTACGCCGCCCTGTCTGAGCATGTGGGCCGCGGCCCGCACCACCACGGACTTGCCGCAGCCGCCCGGCCCGTGCAGGAGCATTCGAAGGCGCTCGCTGCTCTTGGTGTTGTTGGCGTTGGGCCGCTTCAGGGCATACTGGACAATGTACTCCATGGCTCGGCGCTGATGCTGCGTCTCGACGCTTGGGCTTTCGATCGTCAGCATCTCGAAGGCCTCCTCGCCGCCGTCCACCGGTGCAAAGGCGTCGCCGGCAGCGCCTGTCGGCACGTGGTCTGGTGCCAGAAAGTCGATTTCGTCCCCGTGACGCTCCTTCAAGGCTTCCATGATTTTGAGGGAGTCCTCGTAGTTGTCCTGGGCTACCTTGCTATTGGCCCACCCGTCCCGCACGTGAGCCGGATGCATCTTGGCCTGCATGTACATGGCCGCCTGCACAGCCTGCAACTTTCGGGCGGCATTGACGGTCCCGTCCATCTGAGGAAAGCATTTGGACCGGAGGAAGTTGGGGTGGCCATCCAGATCCCGAGCGATGCGCTGGAAGGCTGCTGCATGGCTGCCGCTGTCCTCGTCACATAACCAGTCTCCAGGCTTTGCCCAAACCACGTGCAGCAGAAGTTTGGAGAAGTAGNNCTGGTCAGGACTGAAATTCTGGTAGGCGACGATAGCCGGTCGCTTTCGGGGCACCGGGCACTCCACGCCGACGAATTTGAATCCCGCGCAGAAGTCCAGGAAGGTCATGTCCGCGAACCTGCACCATGCCGTTTTGCCACCTTCCACTGGAAACTCCACCTCCTGCTCCCCGAAGGCTAACTGCATCTCGCTGTACCGCCTCTGAGCCACAGGCATGTACTCGTTCCGGTCCAGCTTGTCGCGGCGGTATTTTTCTGGCCGGCGCAAGGCTGCGCTTTCCTCGTTCCTGGGCACCGACAAGGTCCACGTTTCGGGCGGGCCCACCTGGATCCACTCGTTGTCCCTCGAAAACTCGACGATGGGAAAACCCAGAAGTAGATGGCAGGCTTCGAAGGTTGAGGTGGTTCTGCCCTGCAGCGCCGCGTGCGCCGCCTTGTACACCTGTTGGTTGCTGAGGCCGGCGTCGTTGTTGCTGCTACTGGCGAGGTTGGCCGTGATGGTCTCCACGCGCCGCTGCGCCTCCCGGTCCTGCTCCGACTTCATGGCGTAGCCGAGGATGTACCGGCTGGCGCTCGTGAGCTCACAGATGACCTGGAGGTCCATGCTGGCCCGCCAGCGTCGAAGGATCTTCACGTTGTACTGTCCCATCATGGTGTCCGATGGGGCGCGCCTCACCGACAAGCTGCTTTTCCATTGACTGTTGGCGTACTTCTCCTGGGAGGTGCGGCGTCTGGTCTTCTTCTCGGGTAGGTGGGGGAAGCCGAAGCGGCAAGCGCCGCGTGTCTTGATGCCGCAATACTCGGTGTGGTTGTGTATCACCAGCTCGGCAAGCTTTGCGTTTACTTCTCGATCCCTGTCCTGGACTTTCGTCGATTGCCTCCACGTAAACGGCGATTTGGTGCAGATGTGCTTGTCACTCAAATCCTCAGCGCAGGTTGGCACGAAGGTTTCCATGGCCTCTTCGTCTGACCAGTCGGGCTTGGCTTCCGCTTTGGGCGCTTGCTCCTCCTTCTTGTGGTCATTGCCGGTATCAATCTCCACCGTCCAGAGCAGGATGTGAGCATGCGGGTAGCCCCTCTTTTGCCACTCAATGCGGATGATGTAGTCGAGCACCCTGAAGGGTGGCCGCTCCTTGAAGACTCGTCGGTGTCTGCCTGCCGCATCCGTAGCTGGTGCCTGAACAAAGTCGCCCTCCTCTCCAGGCGTTTCTCTGGCAGGCGCGTCCTCCGCATCCACGTCTTCGTCGAGGCGGCTCTTGGCTTCGCGCTCGGCAGAGAGCCAATACATCAGCTGGGTCACCTGGTGCATGAACTGTCGCGCCACAACTGCCGGGTGCTGATTGCAGAGCTGGTTCGGCGACAGACCGTCCCAGGTGAACCTTTTGTCGGACTGGTAGCTGTGCAGGATCTGCGCGGCTTGGTGCTCGACCTCTTCGGGCTGACTTTCCGGCCGGAGCCGCAACAGCCGTGCCATGATGACGGCGATGAGAATGTCGGGCTGCTGGGCGTTGCAGGAGAGTGTCATGAAGAAGTTGGGCGTGCCAAGCTGCTCGTACATATTGATGGCGACGCCTCTCTTTGCGTAGACGTACGAGCTGGTTCCAGGGATGTCCCGGAGGGCCGCGAACACCTGCCCTTTTCCGTCCCGGTCCTTCGTCCTCCTGCTGGAGACCTGCTGGCCGCCGATCCTGACGTTCACGTTGCCCGAAAGGCGCTTCTTCAGGTGCATCTCCAGCAGCCACATGATGTAGCCGGGGGACGCCTCGAAGCGCGGATCGGCGCCCAGCAGACGCTTGCGAGCGTATTGGGAGAAGCTGCCGTACTCTTCCTTCCATCCGCCCTCGCCGGTGGGAAATAGGTGCGGGAAGAACTTGACGTCCATGTCGTTGCTGAGCTCCGCGATGCGCCGGGTCCTTTGCAGGTCTTGCACTTCGGCTTTGGGAGCCTTCAATTCTTTCGGGATCATGTACGTCATCTCCAATTCTGCTTCCTTTTCTTCTTCATGTTCGGAAGGCAGGGCCTCTCCTGCCAAGGCCAGGGAGTGTGAGCCACCGGACTCCCCCGTTTGGCGCCCTTGGCAGGCTTGGTCTTGGTGGTCTGCGCGCGCCGCTGCGCTTTTTGCCAGGATGGCGGCCATTGTCGCCAAGGCCGTGTCCACTGCCGAATTTGTCCGATACAGGCGGTGCTGGGCCTTCAGCTCCTGCAGAGCTTCAAACAAACAGTCTAAGCGTGCTGGCGAAGCGGTCGTGCCCTGGATACCCTCCATCGAGACCGTGCCATCGTCCTCGATCGTGGCTCCCTCCAGAACGTTGCAGATGCATGGGTCATCCATCAGCACTGCGTACATGCGGCCCCACTGCGCGCTGGGCCCGCCTGCGGGAAGCTTGTCTAGCAGGACTTGGGAAATCCGGGCCATGGCCAGAAGGTGCTGCTCAATGGGCCGCAGCCGCTGGAGTGCTTCGGGGATCGGTGGCGGAGGCGGCAAGACGATCTTGGTGGTTTTCTCGCGGCAGTTCTTGCAGAGCATCTTGCCTGTCTGCTTTGCTGGCCTGTAATATTTCCCGGTTGTGAAGGTTCGGCACGCATCGCACACCCTCGACAGGCCAAATCGGCCCCAGCTCCGTGTGAACGCCAGGTAGTTGGCCTGTGCCTTCTCCGATGTGAGCACATCTTCGTCCGGGAACGGGTAGCCTTGTTGCTGGACTTCGGTGGCGATTGGCTTGGGACCGCGACTGCCCATGCCCTCCTCCGCTCGCTCTGCTTGAAGCTGCTGCCTGCGTGCTTCCCGATTGTCTTCTGTTGGATGGGGGCCACGACTGCCCAATCCTTCATCAGCGCGTTCGGCTTGTAGTTCACGCCTCTGTGCACNNCTCCTCTGCCCGCTCCGCTTGAAGCTGCTGCCTGCGCTTTTCCCGATTGTCCTCTTTTGGCTTGAAACCGCGGCTCCCCATGCCCTCCTCCGCTCGCTCCGCTTGAAGCTGCTGCCTGCGCTTTTCCCGATTATCCTCTTTTGGCTTGAAACCGCGGCTCCCCATGCCCTCCTCCGCTCGCTCCGCTTGAAGCTGCTGCCTGCGTGCTTCCCGATTGGCTGCGACAGAGACGGGTCCGCGGCTTCCAGCTCCCTTCGCAGCGCGCTCTTCCTGAAGAGCTGCTTTCTTGGCCCTCTCCTCTGCTTGGCGCTCTTCCTTCTCGGCCTTGCGGCACTCAGGGTTGCTGCACCACCCTCGTCCTCGGCCGCTTCTGGTTCCGACGCCGCATCGCTGACAAACCTGAGTGCGACGTAACGGAGAAGTCAGTCCGGCTTTTGCTGAGTGTCCCGGCCTTTCCGGCGCTGGAGGCGGAGGTGTTGCCACACAGGGCCTGCGCGCGCGCAACATGCAACCGGGCTATTTGCTTCGCAAAGAGACGGACGCCTAGCACGCGACTTTTGATGAGACAACTTGGGCCGTGGCGTGTTGCAATCTGTTGCGCAGCTTCCTGCCCAGCGTCCATGAGGTGCCACTTGAGGGACCTAGATGGAAAACTGAAGAAGTCTGTAATCGGTGCGGACCGTTGCTACCTAAGCCACCGACGCGGGATCAGGTATGCCAGGCTGAAAGGGACCTGGGCATGTTTCGATGTACGCTGGGCAGGTGTGGAACAC